AAATTCAAGATTACAAGTAATTATGCATAAGTACAACTTATTAAAGCTCGATGTTTGAATTCGTATAAATAACTGCGGATAAACATAATCAAATAGAGAATGAACATATCATTTTAAAATATAAAAAATCTAAAATATAATTAGAATAATTATCGAATTCCAACAAAATAAATAATTATTATCTTTATAAAAAATTATATTATTAAACCAAATATAAATTACTTCGTTATTGTACATAAATTAAATTATAAAAAAATTGGATTAAAAAATTACACAAAAATATGAGGAATTTCAAATAGTTAATTTAATATTAATATCGATATATTTTTTGTCAAATTTTTATGATATCGTCAAACATATATTTTATTCAAAAATAAAAACATTATCGCTTTCTCAAAATCATATAAAGTCATATTATAACATCGACTGAGATAAAGAATAAAATGAAATATTAAAAACACGATGTATCTCGCTGCATTGCGCGAGTACGCTTCTAGTATAATGTAATTAATTTAATACAACCACTTCAAAAATTCCGTTTATGAAAGAGCGTATAGAAAATGTGAAATGATGGAAGCAACGGTCACTTTGGGCCATTTTCAATTCATTAGCAAGAAGTTATTATGATTGTGTTTTGCATATTTTTTTAACCAACGGGAGTAGTAATCCTTGTGTTATGCAATCATGTTTGTCTCTTGTATTCATAATGAATACATACAACACGCTCTTCATAAAACCATATATTCATAGATATATACTTCATAATATCAACCTTAAACTTCAATCAAACATAACCTTGCACCAAGAGTCTAAATTCTTGATATAAAATATCGAATTAAAAGTATTACAACGTTATTAATCAAGGGTGGATCCAACCTTTAAGCATTTTCGTCCAGTCAAAAACTAAAAACCTTTGTTGACTAGTTTAAATTTTCTATTTTCACCCTCGTCTTACGTGGTTTTCCCCAGTTCCATATGATCATATGCTTTCCTCCTCCAAGTTCCATCCAACGTGCCCCTACCCTATTAATTTCCTGGATCTGCCACTGTTCTTAATTTATCTTGTATTGAATTAGTATCATAAATCAAACAATGTCCATTACGCATTATCCGGTGATGATTTAAAAAGTATCAAGGCTATAAATCCATGTTTTGCTTTTTTTCTTATGGTTAAACGTTGACGAAACTTGAGATGAAAGTGATCAGTTAGCTAAATAACTTGGTGAATTTCATGCATACAAACACACACACACACACTCACTCACTGTGACCATGATTTATGAAATATTTTAACACATTGAGATCTCGCAAAACTTTGTATTATATAGATTACCAGTTCTTTTTATGGTTTGGTTTGGATAAGTGGTGTCCAGATAATTTGTCTGTGTGAATAATGGATTAAAATGGTAGATTAGTTAGTTGAAAATATTGAATAGATGAGTAAATTATGATTTTCGTCCATGTGGTTTGTTAATAATTATGTTTGTTTTTGTAAACTGATAAATGTCTGAATTTATTTAAATTGTTTATTTTACCTATTAAAAAATTATAGTGTTGAATTGATAGATTAATTATACAATTTCACATATTATTCATCATCATTATATAATTTACATCTAAATTATATAATTAACATTTTTTTAAATGATCGTATGTCATTGACGAGATTTAACACATTTAAATCATATTAAAATACATCAACCGAGAGACGTGAGGATCGATTTGGTAAGGATCGATTGAGAGAAATGATCGATTAAGGCTAATCGATTGAAAAACGCCGTTGCTGAGGTTTTGGAGAACAATAAGAGTCAAATAAGAGGTTGGTTTATCTCTAACCCAATAAGAGGACAATAAAACATAAGTGAGTCTAAAAAATTGGAAAGAACAAACGGACTGAATGATCCTACCTCTTAACGAATTAAAATTAAGAGGTTGATAAGAGTCCGATACATAACAAATAGTAATACACAATGCACGGAATCAAGCTGACCCAATGCATAAGAGTATGTTTGTCACCCCTAAGCTGTCTAAGGGGTCGTTTACCAAACACTTACTCGGTAAGCGTTTACTGGTAAAATTTAATATTATCATTTACTTATCGAAGTAAGATTTTAGTCTACAAAAACGACATCGTATGCAATAATTTACTCGGTAAGTGCTTACCGTGATAAGAGTCGTCGCCCTCACTTACTGGGTAAGATTTTTGGTCTTTGTCTCGCTCTTACCGGATAAGATTATTGGTTCTTATCATATTCATCCGGTAAGATAATGTGACTTGATAAATGCTTACCTAAATTAGTGTTTGGTAAACGGTCTATAAAGTTAACCGGATCGGATGAGATCAGATAAAAATATATTTTCGTTTTTAAAAAACATTTCGACGTTTTTCACCGGTCCAGGGGGTGCCGGGAAACTGAGTGGGACCCAAAATACCCTGCGCCATCCCACCGTCACACGATCACACACATTCGCCAGCCATTCTCCACTAACGTACTTTTCTACCTACTCGCACTCGTCATCTTCTCCTGCTATGTGAAAACCACACACACTGTTTCTGTGATTCAGATCTACAGACTCAACAATGGCCGTATCCAGAACCTTTCGGAGCTCTCGCACTTCACTTTCTGACCGGAATAATGGTTTTTCCCCTCCATCCACACGACCGCCGGTTGCTGCAACAGGTTTTACATTCAAGCTTTTCGCCTCCGCTCTCTCCGTTGCCGTTTTACTCTTGTTAACCGTTTCCTTCCTTTTCACCTCATCATCTGGCGTCGGTTCATCCGGTCTCGACATCGTAGGCTTTTTTTCCTCTCTATGCGCAATCATCTGATTGTTTGTTTTCGTTATGATATGTTCTTAGTAGTTTAATTTGTTAATTGTGTGTTTATTGTGAACTAGGGTTTTTCTTTTAATTCAAATGGAATTGGAAAATTTAGGAGGTCTGTGCTCGCATTAAAATCCGATCCATTAAAACCTAGATTTGATCAAATCCGAAAGCAAGCAGATGATCACAGGTCGCTTGCTCTCGCTTACGCTGCCTATGCTCGTAAGCTCAAGCTCGAGAATTCTAAGCTCGTTAGGGTTTTTGCGGACCTTTCACGCAGCTATACGGATCTCATACCGAAACCTGCTTACGCGGCATTGTTCGACTCTAATGCGGAATCAATCGACGAAGTGACGCTTCGGCAGTTTGAGAAGGAGGTGAAAGAGCGGATTAAGGTGACCAGACAAGTGATTGCTGAAGCCAAAGAGTCGTTCGACAATCAGCTTAAGATTCAGAAGCTGAAAGATACGATTTTTTCTGTCAATGAGCAATTGACCAAGGCGAAGAAGCAAGGTGCGTTTTCTAGCTTGATTGCGGCGAAATCAATACCAAAGAGCTTGCATTGCGTTGCAATGAGGTTGATGGAAGAGAGAATTGCACATCCGGAGAAGTATTCCGATGAAGGCAAACCACGTCCTGCAGAATTTGATGATCCTAAGCTTTACCACTATGCTATATTTTCTGATAATGTTGTTGCTGCTTCGGTCGTGGTCAATTCAGCTGTTAAGAACACAAAAGAGCCATGGAAGCATGTTTTCCATGTCGTGACTGATAAGATGAATCTTGGAGCAATGCAGGTTATGTTCAAGATGAAAGAATATAATGGTGCTCATATTGAAATTAAAGCAGTTGAGGATTACAAGTTTCTAAACTCTTCATATGTTCCGGTGCTGAAGCAGCTCGAATCTGCAAATTTGCAGAGGTTTTACTTTGAGAATAAGCTTGAGAATGCCACAAAGGACACAACCAATATGAAGTTCAGGAACCCTAAGTATCTGTCAATATTGAATCATCTGAGGTTCTACCTACCAGAGATGTACCCCACGTTGCACAGGGTTTTGTTCTTGGACGATGATATAATTGTTCAGAAGGATTTGACAGGGCTTTGGAAGATAGATATGGATGGGAAGGTAAATGGAGCTGTTGAGACGTGTTTCGGGTCGTTTCACCGGTATTCACAATACATGAATTTCTCTCATCCTTTGATCAAGGAGAAGTTCAATCCCAAGGCATGTGCCTGGGCTTATGGGATGAACTTCTTTGATTTGGATGCTTGGAGGAGAGAAAAGTGCACCGAGGAGTACCATTATTGGCAAAATCTGGTAAGATTTTACATCCTTTTGCAACTATTCTGGACTGTTAACTTCTATGTATGTATTCTCCACTGGAACATGTTAGATTTATATTTCAGCGTATGTGGTATTCAAAGACACTCTAACAGTGTTTGCTTAGTTCCACCCATGTCTTGTGTGGAAGGCGGACTTTACAATGTGGACCTTAAGATATCGGCAATTTGGCATATTTTTTTGCACAAAACTCATCATTAAGAATTGACACCAAATTAAGTTGATAAAGGCTGAAGGCACACTTAAGCGCAAAGGGGTTCTGGGGCGCAGGCATGAGGCGCAGGCCTCAGGAATGCGAGGCGCATCTTATCAATATAGATATATACATGCACACACAGAGTTACACACAACTGAAATATGCAGCAAGTACAAGCCTCCAATGCCGCAACCAACAGTAATTCGATAGAGGCAAAAGGGAGGAGAAGGGTTTAAAGCGTGAGTTGTGAAAGATGTAAGGTCTGGGTATTCATAGAGAAGGAAGCTTGAAGTTCCAAGGAATGGGTATTTAGTATTAGGTCTTTTACTTATGTCATCTATTTAGTAACTTCTTCTAAGAAGTCAGGAGATGAGAGGATGAGAAAGCATATTTAATATTAGGGTTTGACTAGGTATCTAATAACTCTATGAGGGGCGCCTAGGCCCAACGCCTTAGTGAGCCCAGTGAATACACTGAGCCTCGACTTCATAAAAGCCCAAGACCGTGAGCCTTATGAGCCTCAAGCATGCTTTTAACAACTATGCTTGCAACTTGCAAGGATTTTGTACTATGTTTTGTGTCTTATGATGTTAATAAGCATTTTCTTGCAATGATTTGCGTTCCTCAACCAAGTATGGTGATTTGTTTTGCAGAATGAGAACCGGACTTTGTGGAAATTGGGAACACTGCCGCCAGGTTTGATCACATTTTACTCCACAACTAAACCATTAGAGAAATCCTGGCATGTTCTGGGGCTTGGCTATAATCCAAGCATAAGCATGGAAGAGATCCGTAATGCTGCAGTTGTGCATTTCAATGGAAATATGAAACCTTGGCTTGACATTGCTATGAACCAGTTTCGCCCACTTTGGACAAAATATGTGGACTATGATATGGAGTTTGTCCAGGCCTGCAATTTTGGTCATTAAACCAATGGCAATTATTGAAACCCTTTTATTAGGGTTAATCAATACTAGTCATAGTGGGTCCATTTATGAAACTTGACATGTTAACTGATACTAAAAGAGTTGATGATTCAAAGCATGGCATCATCTGTTTCTTCTATAGTGTAGAATGTAGTTTTGAAGTGTTTATAGTGTTCATAGTTGGATCATATTGGTTTATTAGATTACTTGTTATTTAGAATAATTATGGAATAGAGAGTTTGTTATTAAAACAGTTTCATCAAAAATGGCACTACTGCTTTATCATTATTATAACCGTATTAACTTTATTGTCTCTCGTCGTAGTTGGCATAATTCTTAGTTTTACCCTTTCTTATTTTGATTTCATCACATTCTCTTCTCTTTGTTTCTGAAGCCATCTAAAACATCTTTATTTGTTTATGTTCATAGGACTGCCATAACCCTTTTTCCGTATAGGCATTGCTGAAAGGATGACACAAATTCTAAGGCATATTTCTCGGGACGAAGGATCGTGTGAGAAGGGAAGTTATGGTGAGAAGCGTAAGAAGAGATCCGAACCCTTTATCACTTTTAATCTCATGCCCACTCATGAATTGCGCTTTAGAAGGGAATTGATCCGGTGCATCTCGTTGCACCTCATTAGTGTTGACATTCAATTAGGATTAATCCAAGGGTGGAGATCTCTTCTTATACTTCTCAGCATAACTTCCCTTCTCACCGGAACCCAATCCTATTTCTCCATCATGGTTATGCAATTGATAATAGTTGAGATATTTTGATCACAATGATTATGAGAAAGGATTTGGTTCTTTATGGGCCTTTGAACCATTATGTGAATTAGGCTCGATGATCCCCAATCCTGCATATGGTATGAGTTCTAATTATGAATTTCTCTCTTATGAGTTTTATATAGTTTCTAAATGTTGTCATCAAGCTTTTGTGTTAGTAATCTTGCTAACCGATCTACATGCCATCATAAGAGTTCTCATGGAACAGAAAATGCAGATGCATGATTCGGTCATACCATTTGCGTAGATTTATCTCGGGTGCAAACGTGAACGCACAGCATTGGAGTTCCATCAAAAAGCTTGATATTGCAAGTTGAAGACTTGAAAGCCTTGCCATATATGATATATGATAACCACTTTTACCGAGGTATGCAAACTCTTTATTAGCATTAGCAGCCTACAATCCCATTGTTATTTCTTTTGAATAGAAGGCCATGTGTGCTTTGGGTCCCTTGGATAAATGACCTTAAACGAGTTTTTACTTACGAACAAGACCTAAATTTTTTCTAGCTCAATGACCTTGATCAGATCTGCCCCTTGGTTCAAAACAGTCTTCTCCCGTAAAGCTGTAGAAATACAATAGAGGTAATAATTCTTAAATCCAGTTTTTTGAGAAGATCATTCAGCTAAATAGCCCTACACATTTTAGACCACAGCACCTACTACCTAGGCACAATTCACAGGTTAAAAACAGTTTCCTGTGTGTTAACCTTGTAGACATCCTGGCCTTCCCACTTTAGTGGTGGTGTGTTGCACGAACTGTTAGGATCATCAGGTCTTTTGTTAAACGCTTACCAGGGCACTTGCTGCAGAAGTCATCGTCCTCACTTACTTTGTCGGGTAAACGTCTTGTACCCGGTAATTGTAAGCTCTTACAGGGTGATAGTTTTTTTTTTTTTTGCTATATAATATTTATATACGGCAAATAGAACAAATAAACTCACACACCCTCCTCACATTTGGTGGTTTGAACCCTTGGCCTCCTCACATTTGATGAGTTTGAACACTTACCCTATAAGTACTGACCGGTAAAATTCAACACTGTCACTTATTTATTATGTAGGATTTTAGTCTACCAAATTTACCGGTGAACACTAACTGTTGTATGAGTCGTGGCTCTCACTTACCGGGTAAGATTCTTGGTCCTTTCGCTCTTACCGGTTAAGAATATACCATATTTATTCGGTAAAGTAATGTGACTTGGTAAGTGCTTACCTGGATAAATGTTTGATAAACGGCCCTTGAAGAAAATTATTTGATAATATAAGGCATCTACTCTTAGTTGAAAACATGTATAACTGGTCCTTTTTCAATGCATTAAGCCTATATTTCTTAGACTGGAAATATGTTCTTTGGGTTGTTTACTAAATGCTTCTGAGTAAGCGCTTACCTATGTAACTTATTTTACCGATTGAGCATGAGATGGACCAAGACTCTTACCCGGTAAGAGGCATAACAAGGACCGATAGTCTTACCCAGTAAGTAAGGAAAAAGACGTTTACCCGGTAAGCGAGAAAAAAAGGAATCTACCCGGTAAGTGCTTACTGGGTTTAAGACGTTTACCAAACAATTCATTTTGATGGCCGAGAATGTTACAAGATAAAAAATGGTCATTTGTAACTGATTTGTAGATATTTCAAAATACGCAAAATCAAAAAGACCAAAGGGCCGTTTACTAAACGCTTACCCGGTAAGTACTTACTGGGTAATTTTCCTCACCGGATGAACATGACAAGAGCCAAGAATCTTACCCGGTAAGAACGATGATAAGGATGGAGAGTCTTACCCGGTAAGTGAGGGTGACGATTCTTACCCAGTAAGCATTTACCAGGTAAATTGTTGCATATGATACGTTTTGATATACTATAATCTTACGCGATAAAATAAAGTATAGTGTTGACTCATAATGTTAAGCACTTACCGGATAAGCATTTAGGTAAACGGCCCCTAAAATTTGTAACATTTATTTGTAGCATTTGTAACCTTTACATGATTTGTATTTAATTCGTCATCCATTTTTTCAATATTATAAAATCCAATATGGTTAAAAAGCAAAAACTTTAAAGTAGAAAATAACAAAACCTTAAACTTCCTAATTCGATTCTAGAATTTTCGACTCCATTTACTATTTTTCCATTAATGATTTTCATATTATATGTTAATATTATACCAATATAAATATCTGTTTGTGTTTATTTAGTATCTGTGTACGACATTCTGTAAGAAAATTACCATAATATGGGAGTAATTGCTTAATTGATTAAAATACTTAATTGATGGAATAATTGGATGAATACATTCAATTACTAGTAGTAACTATTCAAAATTAATTGAATTGATTAGCAAAATCAAACATCAAATAAAATATTAAATTTTATCGATTTGTATAAATTTTTTGACCCATGATCACTCCTAATTTGCATGGAACATACCTATATATGGGATACTGACAAACATAACCTATAAAACATTTTGAAATTTATGCTTTTACCTTAAACTATAAATTTATCTAAAAATAATCATATGTTACCCTTTAAGCACCGCCCCTGTGTAGAGAGACCAATTTGCAAGAAAGAAAATGTGATTGACCAATGGAGACTACCTAGCCGACAAAATCTGATCCCCTTCCTACGCACCGGCCGGTGCGTAAGGGGCCCACCACTCGATCAATTTTGCCCCCTCTTTTCAATATAAAATACCATTCAATTTTATTCCTAGTACAATATTATTTATTTTCCTCCTATCCAATAAAACGTTATTCAATTTTGTTTTTTTCCTTATCAACCTTACTATATAAACAATTCAAATTTCATATTACCAAAACTAAACTAACACTTTAATCTCCATTAACAACATTTAATTGTTTACATCATTGTAAGTTTACTTAATTTGAATTTTTATATAATTTTATTTTTATAATGTATTAGTTTTAATATAATCTCGTTTTTATACTTTGATTTTTTATATAATCTTGTTTTTATACTTTGATTTTTTATATAATCTCATTTTGATAATATATTAATTTTAATATAATCTTGCTTTTACATTTAATCTCATTTCTACAATGTATTTTTTTAATATAATATTGTTTTTACAATGTATTTTTGTCTGATGCTGTGTAACCTCTTTATCTTATATCTATCAGGAGAATTATTGTGAAACATTTTAACATAAAATCAAATATTAAAATTTCAAATACAATTTTGAGAATATTACGGAAGTCAAAAAACCGACTAGAAATGTTTAATAAATGAACATAAACACGATCACGAATGAACAGATCATTTGACTCGTTTTATTTTGTTTATTTATCATTCGTGTTTGTTCAATTGGTTTATAATCTCTCTGAGGATACGTAATTGGTAAACAAAAATGAAATATTAGAATTTAAGACGCAAGATTTTTACCCGGCTATTGACTCCTTACGAGTAAAAAACTTCCCAACTCATCATCAAAATTCCATACTTACAATTGGGTAAAATAACCTTTAAGAGATCAATCAAGTATCTAAGAACATTTACGACACGCCATATGCTCCCAATATCAGTGATCATGGAGTAAAAGAAAATACACATTTTGTGAAAAAGAAAACCCGAAATCTCTGTTAGATGCAATAACCACCGGTAAAAAGGTAGCAGCTGAAAAAGATCCGAAATCTTGAAGTCAAGCAAAAGCAGTTGGAAATATGGTGATGTGCTTCAATGGATGAATGATATCGACACCACCCGCATGCTCCACGAACCCAGCCGGTGAGAACGACTGTCCATGACATACGCACACAATACTAACTTCATTTTTTGTGTATCTGTATAAGAACCCGCTAACCGTTTTCCCGTTTGGTCCGTTTCCGGTGGTTGAGACACATGGCATTCGGGATAGGAACGAGGCCTGTTGCGTTGCAAAGTCGAGCTTGGAAGGTGGGTTCGAGATATTTGAGCCGGGTAGGTTGGATTGGTCATTTGGTTTCAATGGACCCGGCTCGCATACGGTCGAGTCTGTCAACTTGTTGGTTGAGACCGTTGGTTTGGAGGAATCAGATGGGTCACTTGCAACTGAAGTATTTGGCAGTTGTTGGTCCAACTGAGAGTTGCTCGAGTTGCTTCTGCTATCATCTGTAGCACCACCTACAACCACCACAAAACACCGTTGGTATGGTAGACATGATGAGACATAACTGTTCAAAAACCTGAACGGACCTGAGTGGACAATAGTGTCCTTTTTCTAACCCACCAAAATAGATTAAACACGTAGAGATAAAGACAAATTAGTCAACTACTGAGAACATCTGCAACAAATTCTTAAAGTTTCTTAATACATACATACATATATATATATGTATATATATATACAATTGGGATCACGTGAGACCAGCCTGTTTTCGTGAGGCCCGTTTTATCATTTTTTTACACTTGAACAACAAAATGCTGTGAAGGTAATTTTTACGGTGTTTTTGCTGTGAAGGTTCGACTTTTTTAAACCTTCACAACAAAACGTGTTTTTGCTGTGAAGTTTCAAGTGTAAAAATGTAGCTCACGGTTCTTACAAAAATAGATTGGTCTCACATAAACCCAACCCGATATATATATATATATATATATATATATATATATATATATATATAGACTTGGGATCATGTGAGGCCAAAGGTTTTTCGTAAGACCAATTCTCAATTCTTGGATTAGATTTATGAACATTCATAATCACAAAATTGTCACAAGACTTTTAAATAATCACAAAATTACCACCGTACAGCTTTAGACCATTAAATCAACTTATAAAATTGATCAAATGAATATAAATTAGGATCTCACGAAAAACCTTTGGTCCCACATGAACTCAACCCTATATATATATATATATATATATATATATANTATATATATATATATATATATATATATATATATATATATATATATATATATATATATATATATATTATACATTATTAATAGGGTCGCAGATTATAAATTCGGGGATTTCCATCTCGACTCGATCCTTTTCCTAATCAGCAACAATATCTCAGTAACATGTTGTAATCCCGTATTAATTTGTGGGAAAATTGAAGAAAATAGCGATTTGCAGGGAACAAATTCTGCAAATGGGTGAAAAGTGAGTGTTCTTTTGTATTTTAGCTCATACACGCGGAGGTGATATTTTTGAAATTTCGGAGAAAAATGGCGATTTCTATTAATTTCTGTGTAGGTAGAAAAAGGGGGGTTGTTACCTTGGCGAGAGGAGCATTGGCTATCGGAAAACGCAGAGGAACCACATCCGCCGGAACCGCTTGAATTTACATTACCATTCCGTCGTCCATTGCCTTCTATCTCATCTTCAATAGCTTTCAGATTCCTACTCCCCTGATACGGCCTAAAACTCCGGCATACTGTCGGCCGGAAAACAGAACTCTTCGTATTTACACTCTCGTCAATCCGTCGAACAACTTGACCTTCACCTCCGCTGGTGACCTGCATCACGTTATGATTTACGAATCCATTCGTCAACGGCGCCGCCGCTGGAATCAAACCGATATTTTCCGGTAAGTTTCCGATCCGCTCTTTTTTACGTGCAGGTTCAATCTCCAAAACCTCATCCAACCACTCTTTGCTCTCCACAAATGGACCACTGACTGAACCACACGAACCAAAACCTACCGATTTCTTCAACTTCTCTTCCCTCTTCCTCCGCAATTCCCGTCGCCGGAAAGCTTGAATCTCACGCTTCGATTGAACATTCAAAGCCTCCACCGCCACCGCCGGAACCTCCTTTTCCACCGATTCACGTCCATTATTACCATTCGTTTTCCCAAAAATTCCTCCAATCGACAACTCCAAAACCAGTTCATTTTCCTCCGCATTTTCGTCAACGATTCCAACGCTTTTCGTCTCCAACATGCTCATGTCCTTCGCCATTAAAATCACCAAAATAAAAAAAGCTCTCCAATTCCGTTTCGAAAATCCGATTGAAACTAGGGTTTTTTCGCATTTGAAAAGGGGGGGAATGTTTTAAAGCGAGGGAAAAACCATGGAGGGAAAGGAAAATGACACGTAAGATTTTAGTTATATTCTGTAACGCGATAATGGCGGGGTATGGAGTCCCATGATAGCAAAAGTTGGCACGTGGCGAGTAATGAGGAAATCGAGATCTGCGGATGAGTGCATGAGTGACACGTGGTGATTTTATGTTTAGAATGGTGGTGCTATTTCTTGTTGTTGATGGAATCTTCGCCGTTAGTTTTTTGGTGGGCCAGCGTAATGATGACACGTAACGTGTAGGATAGCATGTCTGTATCGGGAAGGTGACACGTGGCAAAGAGTCTGAGAAAGCGTAGGGGTAGGATAAAACATACGGATACGAGGTGCTTTACAGGCGTGTGTGATAAGACGTGTCGACGTAGCTCTTTTGTAAAGCAACCATGCACGTGGATGGCATGCATGGTCGGCTTGTTATTTAAATGTTAGACTTATATTACAATTTTCCTTTTCTTTTTAATATTTTTAATATGACAAAATTACTCGATATTATCAGTGTTTTAAAAAGACTTTGTTGTAAATATCTGATCGTATTAATAAAATACTTTATAGGATTTATGTTTATCAGACAAAACCAAAAAATATCATATCTAAAAGTGTTACAGTAGATTTATATGACATTTTTTGGCGTTTCAACAAGTTTTCTAAAACACTTTTAATATAAAATGTCGTATTAGCTACTTTATTTGATTCGAAAAAGTGTCCTACAAAAAGATGATTTTATAGGACGTTTCTCAAAAATGTGTTATAAATTCGTTAATACGACATTTTAAATAAGCAATTTATAGTTTGGTCTAATAAAGTTTTGTTTTATAAAGTATTCTATTAGAATGTTTACACATTTCAGATAAGGATGATGATTTATCCCGATCCAATGGAGAACCTGAATCACCCAACCCGAACTGGGATGGGGGTCTTGGGGCTAGGGCCGGAGATCTCCAATAGACTCAAATCGGGATGGCTGGCTTCTACTCGTAATTCAGATACCACTGTCATCATAATAAACTGAAGTGTTAGAATTAGGACACAAGGTGTCTTCAAACCAAGGCAAACCAAAGAGGCTGGAGTACTGTGTATATCCCCCCTCCCCGGTCGGATGTTGGGAGGGGGGATAAGGATGCACGTAGACATCACCTCTATCCGCACAAATAGCGATGTTTTGGTAAGACCTCCGGCTCGCAAAATAAAAACTAAAAGAACAAAAATTATATCAATATGTTAATGATCAGGTGTATGAATCGGCTGGAGCGTATATGTTCTTATTAGGAAGCAGCTACTTATGGCTGCCAACGGTGTTGCTAGTAGAGTCGGTTCAAACATTCATCTTGGCAGACTTCTGTTATTACTACGTTAAGAGGTAAACTCATGTACCCAAATGCTATCGTATTTCAGGTTTTAACGATTATTATTCTTCATCAAATTGGTAGATGTAATAGTAACTTTGTGTTTTATATGACATTGTTGTGAACGGTCAACTTCTAGTTAATCTGCCACCGGTCTAGCAAAACTTTGGCATGCATGTCTAAGGTCTAAGTCCTGTGGATTAAAAATGTACATTTAGTTTACACGTTTTTTATGGGTGGTGTAGTTAAATCAGAATATTCTGACTTTTATCATCCTATTCTGATCAAATTAAATCGTAATTCGAATAAAATACATGAAGAGATGTGGATATGCCATTAAAATTCAAAGTCACAAAAAGTAAAATAAAATTTGATGCTTATATATATATATATATATATATATGAATTAATCATTTAAAAATCTCATATATTATGATAACTGTGAGAATTATTATCTTAAGGTATTGTTTCACATGATCTTTTTCATCTAAGGCGAAAATTTAATATATTGGTTAACGTATATTTGTTTCGCAATGTGTTTGTTTGATATGCATTCGATCGACAATGTGAACTTTTTAGTTGTAGTTTTTGTTTCATAACATATAAAAATGTTTTACATTGTGAAACAAATATATGTTATTCAATACATTAAATCTAAGCGGTGGGCAGAAAAAATCATGTGAAATAGAACATGTTGCACTGGTTTTCAAAGTTATCACAATTTTATTGGTTTTCAGATGAAACTCATTTACATATATATGTTAGAAATCTTTGCTTGGAATCCACTGAAAGTCGTTTATCACTTTCAGATTGAAGTATTTCGACGGTACAATCGAAATCTCAATCGGATGAAATTCAGTGATTGACAGAACTTCGAATCCAAAATTGTTTTGAAATCTGTGTACCTTACTCTCTCCACGAAAATTGACCAATTAGAATTGGAAAAACATGCGAAAACTGTCAAAACTGCAGTTTTTTGCACCCAAAACCGGGTTTAAAAAACCGTGTGAAATATGTGTACCTTACTCTGCCCCTTGGCCATGGGGGAACTGCCCCCGGACCCCCATCGTTTAGGGGCTTTCTCCCCTAAATCAGAATAAATTCAAACAAGTGTGCACTCCGCACCTTTCTTACTTGTTCGATATTTATCATGATTACATTGGTCAATAAATGAATTCCATTACACTTAAATGATATTAGTGATACAAATCACCAACAATATATATATAGAGAGGAGCGATCAAATGAAAACCACCATCATTTGTAAAAACTGTACAAATCATTCTCATACGTCGATTTCATTGTTTAATCTTATGAAATTTTTTCATGAAATTGTTTAATCTTGTGAAATTGTTTCATATAATACTTTTTTTTGATGAATTTGTTTCATATATGGTTATGAAATTGTTTCATATAATATTTTTTTTTGATGAATTTGTTTCATATATGGTTATGAAATTGTTTCATATGATATATAATGAAATTTTAATGAAACTGTTTCATGTATTTCTCTAAAGTTAAAATAATGATGATGATAATATCCATGATTAACACTCTCTACAATAAAAATGGTTAATCAACCTCTCATAATTATAAAAAAATGAACAAAATAAAAAATTATTATTGATTGAATGAGGTTTTCACGGTTTTTACAAATTAAGAGGTTTTTATTTGAACGTTCCCCTATATATATATATATATATATATATATATATATATATATGACCTTAGTCCTTAGAAAAAGTTTGTTATGGGTATATAGTACCGGTTATTCTAGATGTTCATCAGGTATTAGAAAATTTATACCCGTACCTTATTAGATATTTATTTAAATACAGATTTAATTTTGAACGATTTATAACAGATAGACCATTGAGAGAAACAACCCCCGTCTATTAATCCAGCACCGATTTGGTTCAATAAAAATTCCATCGTTTGTGTACTGTAGGTTATCATGAAAACCGATGGACCCAAGTTTTTTGACCGGGATATATATATACTTACATTAACTAAGTTTCAGAAATAGTCTTAGCTTGGTTTTAGAAAAATTGAAGAGGTTATGAGATTTGTTTATGCAAACAGTACCATCAAGCTCAAACCAGTATCATATATATAGTCAAACAAGCAAGTGTAGTTCGCCTCCTTTGGATGGAAAGTTTTAGGGTTTTAATTTAACATGGTAGTTTACTAATTTAAATCTCGTCTCATTTTCTTGATTTTTGTTCCATCTATTCTCATGGAACAGAAAAAATTCATTTTTGTCCTACTCATACTCAAATTCTGTCTTATCTCAGTTTAATGTCGTACCAAACAGATAAAACACCAAGTTTTTATACTGTTTAGTACCGTTCAGTACAGAAACCCCCCCAAAACATCAGACTTCAATGGAAAAACCAAGTTATTGCAACATGACACAAAGATTTTCTAAGTTGAAAGTGACAACAAATTCAAAAATTCAGCAATACAACTTTTGATTTGTACAAGATCACCCTACAAATTATAAAAAACAACATTCAAAAATCAGAAACAAGCTAAGTTTTCCCTGGCCTTGATTGACACATCTCATCAGAATGAGATGATAAAAAGCCGAGAATCTTCGGTTTAGCAACAACACCACCCACCAAAAACGTGTAAACTAAATGTACATTTTTAATCCACGGGACTTAGACCTCAGACATCCATGCCAAAGTTTTGCTAGACCGGTGGCAGACTAACTAGAAGTTCACCGTTCACAACACTGCAATATAAAACACAAAGTTACTGTTACATCTAACGATTTGATGAAGAATAATAACCGTTAAAACTTGAAATATGGCGGCATTTGGGTACACGATTTTACCTCTTAACGTAGTAATAACAGAAGTCTGCCAAGATGAATGTTTGAACCGACTCTGCTAGCAACACCATTGGCAGCCATAAGTAGCCGCTTCCTAATAAGAACAGATATGCTCCAGCCGATTCATACACCTGATCATTAACACACCGATATAATTATTGTTCTTTTAGTTATTGTTTTGCGAGCCGGAGGTCTTCATGAAAACAACATCTCTATTTGTAAGGGTAGAGGCGATGTCTGTGTGCATCCTTACCTCCCCCCTCAAAAAAAAAAAAAAAAAAAAAAAACACCCCGCATAGGGGGGGGGTTATGGCCAGTACTCACAGTCTCCACCTTTGGTTTGAAGACAAAAAAGAATCCTTGTCCCCCAATTCCAACACAACAATTTATTATGATGAGAGTGGTACCCCGATTACGAGTAGAGTCCAGTCTTTCAAGACATGAGGCAGGGACAGGAGGTCAAGAGTTCAAACCTCACCGTAGTCCAAAAGTCAGACTTGTGTGTGGGTATTTGTTGCGTATCTAAATACTGTATACATAAAAAAAGATGTCTTCTGGAGGACGGATTTGTTGCTGGCACATGATATTTAGAACAAATGTTGCAATATCCATGGTGGAGGAAATCTATTAAAGTCACACACACACACACACACAGAGGAAGTTTCAGGGGTAAACCCCCCAAAAAAGGAAAAACTGAGGAACACTCTGGTAATTATTCATCTGTATGTACGATATGCACATGTGCATACCAGACAAATTCCTTCAAATTACTTGTATGCAGATGTCTATACCCTCCAGATAAATAATTACCAGAGTGTTTCTTATCCCCCCATAACCTGACCATATACATACGTATATATATATATATATATATATATATATATATTTGTGTATGCATATTCCAACTAGCAATGGCTTTATGTGCACTTAACCATATGTTACAAAGTAAAAACTGACCTGGATGATCCAGTGAGCACATCCCAAAAATCTTGCAACTCCCAGTGCAAACACGTAATGGGCGGTAGATGGTTCAATCATCTACATTTTGCATAAATCTCGACTCATTAATCATTTCCTTTTCTGATTTACGTTATTTAAGAGGGTATGCAGTTTATTCATAAAAATGCAAACCTTTGTTTTCTGCATAAAAAGAAGCTGAGGAAGAACTGCAATTGCTTCCAAGTACACGCAGAATGCCCACATAACTTTGCTCAGGTGAGAATGATAAGTATGCGGGTAAATAAACAGAGCAAGAATAGCACAGGGCACCACCTATAGTGAAAGACCAGAAGAAATAAGGAAAGTAATCATTAGGGCAGAAAAAAGCATTTAAACTTAGGCACTATAAGCTGTATTATATCGTTAGTTTGACTGCAAACATAAATCAAACAAGCAGATGATAAGCTAGAAGCGATTGAAAATAGTTTGGTTCACCTATGCCCACGTTATAACTCAATCTACCCCGATCTTCATGTGAAACTAGTTGGATTACGCTAAGTTGGCAAAATCTTGGTAGACCAGTTATTAAATTTATATTCAAGCCAACATGAATTAGTCACTATGTTCTTAAATTCGGCCTTCTGAATCCATCTTAATGCATATATGATGGCATCCATCCAAACTTGTAACAGGATTCTTATGTCTATAAATGTTAAAATTAGTATAATGAATGGTATGAGCTACCATATATGCATATAACAACTGTCTAGAGGTAATTGAAGGTTCTCTTAGATGCACGAAGGACTAATAGATTGATACAATCTTAGTTTTCATGCTAAAAATAATTTCAATTATCAACTACCCATAAGGTATAAAAGCATTACAATAAACAAGGAACCCATATCAACTCTAACATGCGATGTGATCACGCAAGAAAAGAGAAAACAAATATAAACCAAA